ACTTGTTATTAACTACAGAAAGTTCTGTTTTTCTGCCTTGTTATTGCAGACTTTGGTTTGTATCTATGCAAATGTTCTTGCATTTAAACGTCATTGATTAATTTGGACGTGCTGCACATGTTGTCTCTAGCGCAAAAAAAAAAAAGACACTTTTTGTTATTAAATTTCTTCCTTTAAGTTGATGAACATAGTAAAGAGAATTCAATTACCTAATTATCATTGTCATCTGCGTCTTTAATAGTGCGTATTTGCTTGCATTCCTAATGAAATTATAATGATACAGCAAAGCTGATTGCATTTAATGATCGTCATACATTTTCTTTTGTATTTCTTCTGTCGGTTAACAAAAATCAGTTCTCTTGGTAGTTTCTATTAGAATGTAATTAAATAGTGTATTTTCCATTTAATCTGTAACTGGCTTAAGCCTCTATATATACATAGCATTGTACACCTCTTTTGAATATAAGACATTTACATTTCTATTTTCTCTGAGTCTCCTTCCCTGTGGTATCCTCTGTCTCCCTGCTTTTCCATTCTTGTCTCATGGTATCAGAGCCATGGGAGATCAAGAAGCCGCTGGAACTCATTCCTCCTCCTCCTCCTTCTCCAATCAAACCACCGCAACAACTGCTACCAGCCATATCCCACAACCCCTCAAGTTTCTTGTATCCAATATCAAGAACCTTGCTCCTCATCCCCTCACGACGGACAACTACTCCATTTGGCGCGCCCAGCTGCTCCAACAATTCACCGCAAATGGCTATGCCGGGCACCTCACCGGCGACGTCCAACCTCCGTCAGACTCCACCTCTGAGGCCCACGCCAACTGGCTTCTCGTCGACAGCAATCTACTCTCCGCTCTCTTCTCGACGGTCTCACAATCGATCCTTCCTTACATCATCACCGCCACCACCGCCCATGAAGCCTGGACGGTTCTTGAACGGCGCCTTCAACCCATCAGCCGATCCCGAGTAATCCAGCTCAAGAACGAGCTATATCGTGTCCAGATGAAGGATCAACCAATGCAACAGTACCTGACTCGCATCAAGTCCATCGTCGACAGCATTTCGGCGTCAGGTTCCAAAATCGACCCAGAAGATATCATGCTTCACATCTTGAATGGCTTGCCTCCAAACTTCAATTCTTTTAAATCCACTATCAGAAATTCCCTTCTCCCCATTGATCTAGACACTTTTTATTCACTTCTATGTAATGAAGAAATTCATTTGCAGCAAGAATCTCTTCTCGATCAATCCTCCACCGCCACCACCACCGCCCTCTACGCCGCAAACTCCTCAAATTATCGCAACCGCAGCAATAACAAACGCTATTCAAAACCCAAGAATTCTCAGCCTCCGCCCGCGCCGCCATCAAACTCGGTTAACTCCTCTAACCCGCCTCTCACCGCTCGTCCAACCTGCCAAATATGCGGCAAACCTGGACACATCGCCTTGAATTGTTGGCATCGGTGCAATCTGAAATACGCCCCAACCGACAATCGTCAACCTCGTGCTCTTCTTGCTACTCCAGCTACCAACGCCAGTCAAGATTGGGTTCTTGACACAGGTGCCTCCGCACACATTACACCGGACGCAAACCAACTTTACTACCCAACGACCTACCAAGGTTCCGACACCGTCTTCACAGCAAACGGCTCCTCCCTACCCATTCATCAAACAGGTCAAGGTCTTCTTCGTCTTCCGGACACGTCCCGTAAACTCCTTCTTCACAAGCTTTTACATGTTCCGTCACTAACCCATAACCTACTCTCGGTTTCTAAGCTAACAGCTGAAAACAAAATTTCTATTACTTTCGATGCTAATGGTTTTACTATGAAGGATCTCCGGGACCAACAGCCTCTTCTTCGTGGTCAACTACGTAACGGGCTCTATAGCATTCGCCTCTCGCCGGAGACTCGTCCGACGGCTCTCACGTCCACCGTCTCCTCTCCGGCCACCTGGCACTCTCGCCTTGGTCACCCGAACAAGGACACTATCTCTATATTAGCTAAACATGTTTCGGAAATTTTACCTGTACCTACGTCGTTTCTTTGTGATTCTTGTAACCAGGCAAAGAGCCATAAACTTGTTTTTAATAAAAGAATCTCCAATTCAACTGCACCCTTTGAATTGCTTCACACGGACATTTGGGGTCCGGTATCGACTCCCTCGTTTGATGGTTTTCGATACTACATTATTTTTGTGGATGACTACACTAGGTACTCCTGGATTTACTTCCTCTACACAAAACAAGAGGCTCTCTCCAAATTCAGATTACTTTGCAACCTCATACAAACGCAATTTCATACCAAACCCCGCACCTTACGATCCGATGGAGGCGGCGAATTTACCAGTCGAGCATTCAAGACATTCCTTCAGGACAATGGCATCATTCAACAATTATCGTGCCCCCATACGCCGGAGCAAAATGGAATCGCCGAACGCAAGCATCGCCACCTGTTGGACCTCACACGGGCCTTGCTTCACGAGTCCGGTCTCCCTCAAAAATTCTGGGTCGCAGCGACCTCGACAGCCAACTATCTCATCAACATGCTTCCCTCCAAAGCAATTTCAAATTGCATACCACATCAGAGATTACATGGAAATCTACCGAACTACAACCACCTACGAACGTTCGGTTGCCTGTGCTATCCATGGCTCCGACCTTATGCTCAAGACAAACTTTCTCCTCGCTCACATGCCTGCGTCTTCATCGGGTACTCGCATATGCACAAAGGTTATACCTGCTACGACATCATTTCAGGTAAAATTTACACCTCTCGCCATGTGGTTTTCTATGAAACTCACTTTCCTCTCAAAGACAAAGCCACCCCGTCTCAGCACACCGCCCCGACCAAACCTACCAACATACCACCTTCCCTACTCATTCCCTCTACCACTCTACCTATCATACCGGCCAACCAACCTGCTCAACACAATACTTCAACCATTTCCACCACCTCCTCTAGTCCCGAACCCGTTCAGGCAGCACCAACTATCGCTCCTATACAACACAATCCCTCACCCCAACTCAACCCCATTCCTCACCAAACTCATCCTATGACCACCAGACTCAAGGCTGGCATTAGCAAACCCAGGAAAATCCTTAACCTCCTTACCGAAATTTCCCCTCATGACCCTCCGGCTTCCTACAACCAAGCTCTCAAACTACCTCACTGGAAGAATGCCATGGTTGCCGAAATTGAAGCACTACGCCGCCAAACAACTTGGTCTCTGGTTCCTCCACCAACCAACAAACCTGTCCTCGGCTGCAAGTGGACTTTTAAAACGAAGACTCTACCAAACGGTCAGATTGATCGTCACAAGGCTCGCCTCGTCGCACTTGGTTACAATCAACAGTATGGCATCAATTACACCGAGACATTCAGTCCCGTAGCGAAAATGCCGACTATTCGTCTCCTCCTAACTCTCGCTCTTCATCGTCAATGGCCACTGCACCAGTTAGACGTATCAAATGCCTTCCTCCACAGTGACTTGCCGGACGATATCTACATGAGGCAGCCCCCCAGATTTATTGATTCCAGCAATCCAACGGCCGTCTGCAAACTTCATAAATCTTTATACGGATTGAAGCAGGCTCCTCGTCAATGGTTCCAAAAACTAACTTCGTTTCTCCAATCACAAGGGTTCAATTTCACCCGCTCGGACCCGTCCTTACTTCTTCTTCACAACGGACAAACTCAGCTATACATCTTAATCTACGTGGATGATTTTCTTGTCACCGGAAACAACACAACTGCCATAGACAGACTTCTCCATCAGCTACAAAAACAATTCGCTCTCAAACGACTAGGACACATCTCCCTTTTTCTTGGCACCAGGTAACTCAATCCTCAACCGGATACTTTCTATCTCAAGAACATTATGCTACTAAACTTCTCAATGATGCAGGCTTCAAGGACTGCAAGCCGGCCCCAACACCTACACGAACAAGACTCGCCCGCCGACAGCTCTCAGTCCTCCGTTTTCGGATCCATCACTCTACCGCCGTCTCGCAGGATCACTTCAGTACCTATCGATCACCCGACCAGACATAGCCTATGCTACGAATCGGGTTTGCCAACACATGCAGTCTCCAACCGACCAAGACTTTAAAGACCTTAAACGCCTACTTCGGTATATCAATGGCACACTCTCTTACGGTTTGCCCATCACCATAGGCAAATTGGAGCTACATTCCTATTCGGACGCAGATTGGGCATCCGACACAAGTGATCGAAAGTCTATTTCAGGATATTGCACATTCATTGGGCCAAATCTTCTCTCCTGGACGGTGAAAAAGCAAGTCACAGTGGCTAAGTCGTCGACAGAAGCCGAATACCGGTCACTCTCCGCCGCGGCATCCGACGTCCTCTGGCTTCGCCGTTTAGCCGGCGAACTTCTACTGCCTCAACCCAATCCAACCATTATACATTGTGATAATACATCGGCTATAGCAATCGCCAAGAATCCCGTCTTCCATGCACGTACAAAACACATAGAGATCGACTACCACTTCATCCGTCAACAAATTAGCTCCGGGGAGATTCACCTCGAACACATACCCTCCAAGGATCAAGTGGCGGACATACTGACCAAACCATTCTCCATTTCAAGATTCAATGATCTCCGACACAAATTAACCATTCGATCAAAGAATGCTTAATTTGAGGGACCATATTAGAATGTAATTAAATAGTGTATTTTCCATTTAATCTGTAACCGGCTTAAGCCTCTATATATACATAGCATTGTACACCTCTTTTGAATATAAGACATTTACATTTCTATTTTCTCTGAGTCTCCTTCCCTGCGGTATCCTCTGTCTCCCTGCTTTTCCATTCTTGTCTCAGTTTCGTCATCCTTTTATTCACCTTGATTACACCTATTTTTAAATTCCTTATGAAACAATAATGATGCAAGAAATCAGTTATATTTTATGATCTTGTCACAATTTTTTTAATCTTGGTGTTTACTTTTAAGGATTTTGTTTTAACGCAGTACCTGAGGGAGTTGGATGATTTAAGATCAAAGCTTTTTGTTACCCATGCTACAGCTGAGGCTAGTGCTGCATCAGCTCAATCTGCCCAGTCCCAGTGTTTATCCTTGCTAAAAGAATTAGATGAGAAAAATAGCTGCATAAAAGAAAATGAAATACGTGTCAATAGCTTAGGGGAGCAATTAGATCAACTGCAAAGGAATCTCCAAGAAAGAGAGCTGTCTCAAAAACAATTAAAAGAACATGTCTTGAAAATGGAGAATGAGATCCAGTGTGCTGTTGCAAAAGCTGGAGATATCAGAGATTGTGAGCTGCGGAACATTTTAGAAGAACTATCTATACGAAATTATGATAAAATAAATAAACTTTTAATTGCCAAGGATGATGAGATTTCTCGATTGAGGGATGAGATCCGTTTCTTGTCTGCACAATGGAAACACAAAACAAAAGAACTCGAATCACAGGTATGCCATCTTCATTTATGGCCTTAGAACCAATAATGTTTTCTGTAAAATTTGATTAGATTGTTTTTTGTGCTTATATATATTCTATAGCTTGAAAAGCATAGGAGAGCTGACCAGGAACTAAAGAAGAAAGTCCTGAAGCTAGAGTTTTGTCTCCAAGAAACAAGATCTCAGATGCGGAAGCTTCAAAGGGTAATGAATTTACATTTTCTTGTCCTCGTTCTATTTATTCCTTTCCCGTGATGCTCTTAATTAAGGTAAAATTACTGAATTTTTAACCATATCAAATTTGTCTTATATAGTAGTGCCTTTTTTCCATACATTTGAGTTTAATATTTATTTATATATTGCTGTAGAAGTGGATTAACAAAACAGATTCATGACATGGCTTAAAAGTAGCTCTTTAATAAGACCTTTCCAATTGTTTGTTTGGAAATCTGTTGACTTGTGTTAATTGTCCTTATAAAGCATCTGGATACATTTACAACTTTTTCAAATGCAATAGGAATAATCTTCCTTAAATAACTTCCAGAGCAAGTGGAAAGCTGTTCCTTTTGTTAAGTTCCACAATAAAACTTAGCGTCTTACTTGAAAAAGTTCTAAGATCTGAAGTAGCAATAACATTGTTATGGCCTACAAGTATAAGTAAATTATTGCTTGCATAGCTTTGTTTTAGTGCAAGTAGTTTGAAGTGATTCGAGTTGAGTTTCACACGAGTTTTATTTAACTGACATGGGCTATTTTGTTTGCAGAAATTAATTTCTTACGAACTTAGTTCTGTATTTATTTGGGTTGTAACAAGCTTCATTTTTATTTGTGCCTGACAATTGTGTTTGTGTTTTTTTAATATATGTTTTTAAATAAAAATAATTCTGTTAGACCGGTCCACTGGACCGGTCCAGCCGGTCCAGGCGGGACCGGTTCACGCCCGAATATCGCGAAACAGGCGATTTGTTCGCCTGGGCGGAGGCCGCGCGCACCGCACGCCTTGCGGGAGCCGAATAGGAAGCTTTTTTGGGGAAATTAAGAGGGGAATTTGAATGTAGGGACTGTTTAGGGATTTCCTTTTGATTTGTATGCATTAAATAGTAGATTTTCCTAGGGTTTGATCATCTTGAATTTGGCTGAAATTTGAGATCTCTTAGATTTAGGTTTCTTTGGGCTCTAGCGGCGTCTAGAGATTTGGGAGAGATCGATCCTCCTCTCGAATTGAGGATCAATTGTATCTTGCTCTTTTATTCATCGTCTAAGTGGAATACAAGTCTTTTCTTGAGTTTTCTCTCGTATTTTCCCGAACAAGTGCTGTTTTTCTGCTGTAAACAGCAGAAATCTGCTGTTTTCCTGCTGTGGACAGCCATTTGGCTGCTGTTGGTTCGCAGATTTTGGATAGGTTGCTTGTGAATACAAGGACTTCCTATCAGCAACCCAACCGAAATAGGGAAATACTTGGTCAATCCATCTTGTGTTTGAACACAAGTAATAGCTCCTACATACATATCTTTAATGATTTGAATATAAGCATTATTGACTTCTTTCTTTTCAAGAACTCTCCATAGCACTTCTCTTGGAACTTTTTCATATGTTTTTTTCTAAATCAATAAATATCATATGTAGATCCTCCTTATTTTCTCTATATTTCTCCATCAAACCTCTTAATAAATGTATGGCTTCCATAGTCGACCTACCCGGCATGAATCCAAATTGATTTTGAGAAACATTAGTATCACGCCGCAACCTATGCTCCAAAACTCGCTCCCATAGTTTTAAAGTATGACACATTAACTTAATACCTCTATAATTCGCACAATCTTGTGCATCACCTTTATTCGACATTATCCCTCTTAAATGAATATTTTTTATTCATTTTCTCCTTGAGGGAGGGGAACATT